GGATCTTGTAGGAATTATAAACAGGAATAGACCAGGTAAACCCAGGGAGGATGCTCCCAATGACCAGGGGTCACAGTCTATAGAACTGGATAGGTCAGTTAGGACTGAGAGGATGACAATTGTCTTCACTCAGAGAGTGGGGAATTCATGGAATTCTCTGCCACAGAAAGTGGTTGAAGACGAAACAACCGAAAGTTTTCAAGAAAGAGTTAGATATTTTCAGGGCTGAAGGGATCAGAGGGTATGGGGAGAAAGCAGAAACAGGCGAATTGGATGACCATACTGAATGGCATGAAGGGGCTGAATGGCCTCTTCCTATTTCTTATGTTTCTAAATGGTTTATTAACGTAGTTGGGTCAACAGTCTGCATTTGGGCTTTACATTTCCATCATAGAAAGAAATCAGTTATCGTTACCGGATTCAGTCTGTACCTGGAACCAGTCGCTCCTCAATTGTGGTTGTCTCTTACCTGGTCTCAGAAGAATGCTTGAAAGCTCCTACATTGCAGAAGCATCTTGAACACGCAGCCTGCAGTTCAAGGTGGCAGCACATGACAAGAGTGAAAGTGAATTTGACAGATGTAGCAGGGTACGTGAATCAACCCAGCTGGTGTTAACATTTCACAGGCACACCATATGTTCTAACAACGATCCTGGCAGCCCTCCAGAACAGAGCAAAATTGATGCAGTACTGATGTACCTAACCTCAAGCCAATAATAAAACCCACAAAAGAAAAGCATTTTATTTACTAAGAAAAGGGAGGGAAATTAAGAGTACAGATAAACATATGTTTAATAGAGATTAAATACTATTGAAAGAAACACAGTCTCCAAAATTGCACTGGTCATTAAAAACAAAGCCACAGCAATAAAATCTTTCCAAGTTTAATATTCTGGGAAACCTCTCTGTCAGAGTAACATCTCAGAACATCAGGCCACATTTCCAGCAACACACCCTGTTAAATGAGAGTCCATTACATTTCTGTTTCTCTGAAAATCAGACTAATTCAAACCATATAAAATAGTTGGTGCCTGCAATTAGGAAAACAGCAGTAAATACAATGCACAAAAAGGGAATCGGGGAAAAGCATTATGTACAAGTGTTAACAAAACGATTATTTATATAAGGGGAGAGAGAGAAAAAACAAAAGCACTGCCTGTAGAAACAACTGCCATCTCAGAACTGAACAGGTTGCAGCTATACTGGTACAACAGAAGCTCACTCCAACAAATGAAAGAAGTGATTTCAAAAGGAAATCTGAAGCTATTTTTTAATTAAGATGCTTTGGTGACAACAAGATCTTCCAGAAACAAGCTGCAGCTCCCGATCAGCTGAATAAAACAGGGATGCTAGTATGTGATGCTAGTGTTAAATTATATATCAGAAAGTCTACACTTCAACTGGACCTTCCTATATAACTTCTACTAGCTGATGCAGACCTTTTAAGTTTAAGGAAAAAGTGCACAGGCTGCCATCTTCTGACTTAGAAACCAAAACTTGCATTCAACTTGTCAATCTCAAGAATTTAGAAGCTGTTACCCCTCTCCCTCACCATCTTCACAGGGAGAAAGGTTCAGTAAGTGAGCATTACCATGTGAGATCCATCAAGTTTATAAGCATTTCTTTATCAATATAATGTGTAAACCCCTTTATGTCTGCACACAAACAGCATTGTTGAAAATAAAAATAGTGAAAGGCAAATCCTTATGGAGAGTACAGAAAACAAGAGCCTTCCTGTATCACAAGGAATGAAACTGTCAGACACTATACTATTCTCTTCATGTCAATGAGGGCAACTCATCTGTGAGGGAGGGCTGCTCACTATTTCTGATCTCCTGATTTTAATCCTTCCTCTCAACACACCAATTAATTGCTGGGCTGCTCTCTCTCTGAAATGAGCTCAACTGCAAATAACCGATGAAGGTTGTTTAAAAAAAAACCTGTGGACAGAGTACTCTGTACCGGGAGTGGGTGATCAAAAATTAGGATAGAGCAGTAAGTTAAAGCAAAAGCCAGGTCAAACTGTTCAGGTTTCAGCGCAATAGTCAGCCTGGGCTCCAGAAACTCACTCCTTAAGCTGGATTCGGGTCTCCACTCAAGAGGCTGGACTGATGGGGTGCAGCACTGTTTTGCTGCTTTGATTCATGACAACTGGTATAACATAAATAAAAACCCTTACTTGCAGAGTCCAGACAGACTGGCAGCAGTATGAAGTACACAGGACATCGCAGAAAGCTCAAAATGCTCTCACCTAACAACCAGCAGCTGGGAATCCACAGGACAGAGAGAAGGACATCAAACCCTGTTTGAGCTCAGCTAGAAACTCTGAGGAAACATCTTCCTGATTACTGTCGTCAAGATCAAGCAACTGAGTAAAAGTAGAAAATGCAGCTGCTCAGTATCATAACTCTATATCACGTGGCATGGAATGGATTTTGGTTGGGGATACCTGGGATGGGGTTTTAAGAAGGGATGTTTCTGAAACTGTAAAGTCAAATCTCGAAAGGAAAAAACCCCAGTAAATCGTGGTTATGTACTGCCACAGTATTCCATCCACTGCCCTGGGCCATTATCTTCTCTCCTCTAGAACGAGGCATTTTTCGAAAAGCTCAGGCAAGTGGCTCTGGGGTCTCAAGAGGCACTTTCAGTGCAGGAGGAGTTTGCCAAAGGAAGCCAGTTTGTTAATGCTGAGGAAAGGCTGTAGTAGACAGTAGCCTGAAGAGGCCCCAGGCATCCCTCCTACTGAGTGGGACAACAAGTTATCTGGACTGAACAGGATAGACCAAGGAGGTAAACCAGGACAATGTTTTTAACTAAGGAACATTTCAAATCCTGAGTGCATCAAAGCTTTTCCGTTTAATTTAAGAAAAACTCAAAAAAAGAAGAAAGGTTGGCACTCACTGCATGACTGAAGTCACAAGTCCCCATCAATAGTCCCATCTCTGTTTGGACAGAATGAATAGATGGCCAAATATTGTCTGAGAAACAAAACAATTGATGAGATGCTTTGGACACAAGGACAGTCATGCACAAAATGTTAACTCATCTTTCCCTACTCAATCTCAGATTTTCACCCCATACAACTTGTGGCCTGACCACATTTCGTGGAAATGCCACTTCCAGTTCTGGTAGTAAGAAATTCATTTTACGAAGCATACCCAACTGAGACTTCTGAACACCAGAGAGTTGAGCAAAACAGGCTAAGCTTTTAAATCTGCTGGAACTGATACTGGGGATAACTACATTGAGGTATTTACTGGGGCAAATTGACAAGGTGATTTCTATGTATCCAGTCAAGCATTTCTTTATTAAGCTACCCTCTGTTTTAAGACTCTATAGACTACAGAGGTTTGCATTAACCAGTCTTCAAAATGCAACATACGAATGGTTATCAGTGCCAGCAACAATTCAGCATAGTGATGACTCTGAAGAAGGCTAATGAAACCAATTCCTGGCAGTGAGTCTCATTGCTGCAGTAGAAGATCCTTCACCCAATTTATTATATAGAATGATTTAGATAATTATTTCAATGCACAACGTGCAAATTGAAGTTTACAAAATAAAACAAAAAGAAGCAAGTGCCAAGCGTGGGCAAGCTTGGTTTTATCTGGTATAATATACTCTGTAATAAACAGATTTTGACCTCCAGAGTGAGTAGGAATTGTCGAATTTCAGGAGATAGACCCCTCTGCCTGGGTACTGATGGGATCCGGCGTACACCTCCTCATGGCAATCCCGTCTGTAGACTGGTACCACTTCATCTACCTGTACTTTGTTGGCCTCCTTCTTGATTTTTTCTCCTTCACTGGGACTGTCTGCAAGAAAGAATGTAAGACAATGTCAAAATTTACAAATATGCCTTTTTTGTTTAAAAGAAACGATCAAGGCTTGCATCCGAAGATGCTAATCTCAGATGGTGCACTGATTTACTTTAGTTATGTGGGGAAATGAGAGGGACGTCCCTGCTCCCACACTAGAGGCAGAGTCAGTCATTTCATGTGCTGGGCTCTACGGTACAATAACTGTGGACTGGGGCATGGATGAAAGGCGAAATATGCAAGGCATTTTATTGTCTATTACACCCACCTCTGTCCCCAATATCACGACACTCAAAAGCTGAAATGGCAGACCATATTCAAAAGAAAAAAAAACTTAATACCCCTCTTGACAACTTCAGGTTA